GAGAAACTGGGTTCAGTTTCAAGGATTATTTATTTATTTATTACTAGCCATCCCCTGCCATGCGTTGTTATGGCTCACATGGGGATTCTGTGTGGGAGGTTTGGCCCAATTCTACCGTTGGTGGGGTTCAGAATGCTCTGTGATTGTAGGTGAACTATAAATCCCAGCAACTACGACTGCCAATGACAAAATCAATTTTTTTGAGTGATGGACATACATTGGGCTGTTAGCGGTCTTGTGTCCAAATTTGGTGTCAATTCGTCCAGTGGTTTTTGAGTTCTGTTAATCCCACAAACGAACATTACATTTTTATTTATATAGATTTTATTTACAGCATTTTTACCCCGCCCTTCTCAACCCCCGGGGGGGGGGGGGGAACTCAAAGCGACTAACAAAGGCAGCAATTCGATGCCACAATCAATAACACAGTATAAAACCATAAATACATACAGAGTTAAAACAATAGCAATTAATTATAACCAATTATCATAACAGTTATTAAAACAATACTCAGTCCACAAACCCACTGATAGAACCATAAAGCCGTATCCTCATACATATCGTCTTGCCAATCCATTTCCAGTCAAAGTGCTGCTTTATGTTTATTGTCTGAAAACCTGGTCCCAAAACCAAGATTTTAATTTCTTCCTGAACGCCAGGAGGGATGGGGTCGATCGTATTTCATTTGGAAGCGCATTCCACAGGCAGGAGGCTACAGCCGAGAAGGCCCTGTCTCTCGTCCCCACCAGCCGCGTTTGCGATGTTGGCGGGAGCGAGAGCAGGGCCTCAGGGTATAGGGTTACAGCCTGTGCTTGACTGGGTTACACTCCCCCTGAAAGCGCAGGTTCACAGTTTGGGAGTGATCCTGGACTCATCGCTGAGCCTGGAACCCCAGGTCTCGGCGGTGGTCAGGGGAGCTTTTGCACAATTAAAACTTGTGCGCCAGCTGCGCCCGTACCTTGGGAAGTCTGACTTGACCACGGTGGTCCACGCTCTGGTTACATCCCGTATAGACTACTGCAATGCTCTCTACGTGGGGTTGCCTCTGAAGACTGCCCGGAAGCTCCAACTAGTCCAACGAGCGGCAGCCAGATTACTAAAAGGAGCGGGCTACAGGGAGCATACTACTCCTCTGTTGCGCCAGCTCCACTGGCTGCCAATTAGCTTCCGAGCACAATTCAAAGTGCTGGTGTTAATCTATAAAGCCCTAAACGACTCCGGCCCAGTTTACCTGTCTGAACGTATTCTCCCCTATGAACCATCAAGATTGTTAAGATCATCTGGAGGGGCCCTGCTCTCGGTCCCACCATCCTCGCGCGTCTGGTGGGGACGAGGGACAGGGCCTTCTCGGTGGTGGCCCCTCGGCTCTGGAACTCCCTCCCACTGGAGATTAGAACTGCCCCTTCTCTCCTGACTTTTAGAAAACAGGTGAAAACCTGGCTCTGGAAACTGGCATTTGACGAGTGAGTCAATAACTCGTGACTACATGGACGGATGGTGATGAACTACGATTTCATTTTGATGACTTGGCCTATGTAATTATATGATTGTATTTTAGTATTTTAATGTTTTAGTGTATTACGGGATGTGATGTTTTTAAACGATTGTCTATGATACTGTTGTTGTGAACCAGCCTGAGTCCCTCTGCGGAGGTGAGAAGTCCGGTATATAAAAGTTTTAAATAAATAAATAGTGACAGATTTGGACATCATCTGCACACAAATAACACTCCGAAACTCCGGATGATCTCCCCCAGCAGCTTCATGTAGATGTTAAATTACATCAGGGACGATACTGAACCCTGAGGGACTCCACAAGACAACGGTTGTGGAGTTGAACAGGTGTCACTCAATAACACCCTTGCTTAAGAAGCTGTCCTTTTGCAAAGCTTAATGTTTTGTTTTTTTAACGTCACCATATTAAATAATACTGTACTTGAGATATGGAAAAGTTATTCTCTAGCTGTATAGCGATACTCAGGCGTGTTTCCACTTTAAAAAACACTCTTAAATTAAAAACAGTAACTTTTTTTTAAGTGCAACTTGAAAAGTTATTCATGGGTTTCTGCCTGAGCCATTTCCTTTAGCGCATCTGCCGAGAACATGAAACTAGTGAAACAAAACAATCTCCAAGTTAAAGCCTCATGCAAATGTACATGCTTCAAGTTCTCTTGTAGGGAGAGAAAGAATGAGGTGGAGAAAACTGGCACAAGGACTTGGAGCAGGTGGATGATTTCCCAACAGTTAGGATTGGCCTATGCTTTCACACAAAACACCCCAAACAAACATTGCACCTTCATCATAATTTATTGCTGGCCATACCAAAAACAGATCTGACCCTTTCAACTGTGTACATTTGCTCATCCATTTCCCGCATGTCAGGAAATACTCGGGCAGGCCTTCATCCAAGTTCAGTGTGGTTTTCCCCTACTCCTCAAGGGAATTTTGAAGTTTTTGTTTCACTTCTCAGAAGTTGGATGCACTTTCCTGAGCAATAAAATCCCTAAACAAAGTACGGTATTATTTAAGGGGGGGGGGGGTTCAACGAAGAAGCAACAACACTTAACGGGAGAAGGAACAAACCATATAGATCAGCAGTGGGAATGATGTGGCTTGTCCCAGCATTCCTCAACACTGACTAGGCTTGCTAGATGTTGTAATTCAACTACATCTACAATCTCGGGTGTAAATGGGGATTTTCCACCCTACTAGCTTGAGTTGGTGGCCAAAGACATGCAATGAGTTTCAAAGCACTACAGCCTGATGAAACACTAAACATATTCCTTGATCTGGGTTGTTGTAGGTTTTTTCAGGCTGTATGGCCATGGTCTAGAGGCATTCTCTCCTGACGTTTCGCCTGCAACTACTTCAGAGGATGCTTGCCATAGATGCAGGCGAAACGTCAGGAGAGAATGCCTTTAGACCATGGCCATACAGCCAGAAAAAACCTACAACAACCCAGTGATTCCGGCCACGAATGATCATGTTCTTTGATCATTCTTAGGAGCAGCTCACTTGCAGCTCTTATTTGTGAGTAACTGCTATCCATCCGAGCCAATTCTGAATCCGGAGGTTGAGAAGGGTAGAAGTATTGGAAATAAAATAAATAAGAAATAAATAAATTATCTATTTTGTATTCAACTTTACGATACAAATCTTTCTCTCAGATGCGTAACTTGTAAAACTTGTGCTGAACCTAAATCCACAGAGCAAACTAGAACACAAAAGAGAATTTAGGATGAGGTTTTGTAATAGATCTCACATTTTAAGACTCCGTTTTTCCCTCCTAGGCTCAGGGTGCATCTCCACTGTAGAATTAATGCAGTTTCATACCGCTCTTAACTACCATGGCTCTATGCTATGGAGTCCTAGGATTTGTAATTTGGTTAAGCATGGGTCCCTTCTAACACTGCTATATAATCCAGACGAGAAAATCATATATACCACACTATTTATTTATTTATATCATGCTTGGCTCCCCAAACAGCCCCCAAAGTGGCTCACAACGTTATAAATGAACAATACAGATCCAAAATACATAAAACAGTAATCTATAAAACAATATATACAAAAAGACCTACATTAACATAAATGAAAACATTTATCAAGTACAAATAACAATTGTCACGTTTGAACTGGATTATCTGAGTCTACATCGCCATATAATCCAGTTCAAACCAGATAATATAGATTTTATATGGCTGCGTAGAAGGCGCCATATGACCTTTCTACACTGCCATATAATCCAAATTATCAAAGCATATAATCCACATGATCTGCTTTGAACAGTAGGCATATCTGTATTGTGTTCGTAAAATGTTTGATTTTGTACTGCTCTTTGTAAGAGCTTAGGGTCTTACTATGCTTTAGAAAATAGCATATTCTTAATACATCTGTGGTAATGTAGTTATGGCTAAAGCTATTCTTAATAATCTTATTATACTGAGTCTACAATGCCATATAATCCAGTTCAAAGCAGATAATCTGGATTTTGTATGGCAATGTAGAAGGGGCCATAGAAAGCTAAAGACCTTATAAAACTACAAGTCCCAGGATTCCATAGCATGGCTGTTAAAGTGGCATCAGAGTGCATTAATTCTATGGTGGAGATGCACCTTGAGCCATGGAAGAAAAAGTGGTCCTAAAATTCTATTTTTTAAAAAAAAAACTATTTTTTTTCCTAAAATTCTATTTTTCCCCTAAAATTCTAAATGCAGAATCTACAACCCAAAAATAATGTGAGGCAAGGTTCTACTATAGATTTTTCACTTTATATAATTCCACCTTTTTTCGTAGTTGGCTCAGCGATTCCCTTCTCACAAACATTGATGTTACAAGTCTCCCAAACCAATTTTTAAACTTTCCTTCAATCTCAGGATTTTTCACAAAGGCAGCAATGGGGAAAAAAATAATGAAACTTGAGGCCCCTTCCACACAGCTGTATAAAATCCACATTGAACTGAATTATATGGCAGTTTAGACTCAAATAACCCAGTTCAAAGCAGATATTGTGGGATTTTCTGCCTTGATATTCTGGGCTATATATCTGTGTGGAAAGGCCCTGAATCTATGGCTGCTTAGAGTTGTTATTCTCCACTGGCCATGCTATTTGCATTGCACACATGCAAGATGGGAATTCCCATTTCCTTTTCTCCTCTTACTCTCCAGACAACACATTGCCTAACTCACTTCCCAATTTTCTACAATCTCACCTACCTCCAAGGTGGTTCTTGCTTACTTTTATACAGACAGACAGAGAACTATTTCCTGGGTTTGTTCCTCTCCAAAGTGAGGCTTTTCCAACATCAAGTTGCAGGTTCCCTTGGTTTAAAGGTACAGGTGTCTCAAGATGCATCCATACCATTGATCCCCAAATTCTAGTCCTACAGGTGTTTTAGATTTCATCTCCCAGAAGCCTTTGTTGTCAATGATCAGAGATTCTGGAAGCTGAGGTCTGAAGCCTATCTAAGAAGCCCCCCACCCACTCCCACTCCCACTCACCATGGCAGCGCCACCAACCGCAGGAGGAGGCGCGGATGCTGCGGGATCGAGGCCTGGAGAGGGAGGATCAGGTCGCAGAAGGGATCGTGTGCGCTTGGAGGGAGGACGATGGGCTGCATCCGCTTTTCATATGCCCAGAGGGGAGGGAGGAGGAGAGGCCCGCCCCTTGAGTCCCCGCCTGGTACGATGGAGAAGAAGAGAAAGTGCCAAAGTCTCGGGTGGTGCAACCAGGGACCGAGCGCCTCTCGGGCGACCCCTGGAGGCGGACAGCCGCCCTGCACACCGCCCAAGGCGAGAGCTTTTTTAATTATACTGTATTAAGCAAACTCTGCTGCTGAGTATGCATGCCCAGTGTGGAACACATCTCACCACATTAAAACAGTAGATGTGGCTCTTAATGAGACATGCCGCATTATCACAGGGTGTCTGCGCCCCACACCACTGGAGAAATTACACTGCTTAGCCGGTATTGCACCACCTGACATCCTCCAGGAAGTAGCAGCCAATAGTGAAAGGACCAAGGCAGAGACATCTCCAGCTCATCCCCTGTTTGGGTATCAGACAGCACGTCAACGACTTAAATCAAGACATAGTTTTCTTAGATCTACAGAGACACTCGCCTGAACACCCCAGCAAGCGAGAGTCCAAAAGTGGCAGGCCCAAACCCAGCACCCCAATCCATGGGTGATATCAGATGAGAGACTCCCCCTGGGCACACAGAAGACTGGGCGACTTGGAAGGCGCTGAACAGACTGCGCTCTGGCACCACGAGATGCAGAGCCAGTCTTAAGAAATGGGGCTACAGGGTGGAATCCTCAGCATGCGAGTGCGGAGAAGAGCAAACCACAAACCACCTGCTGCAATGCAACCTGAGCCCTGCCACATGCACCATGGAGGACCTTCTTGCGGCAACACCAGAGGCACTCCAAGTGGCCAGATACTGGTCAAAGGACATTTAACCAACTACCAAGTTTGCAAAATCTGTGTGTGGTTTTTTTTCTTCTTTTTCTTTTTAATCTGTGTATTTGTTTTGTTCTGTTAGAATTGTAACACAGTGGTATGGTTGCTGATGACACGATAAATAAATAAATAAAATAGCACTAGATCTTGGAAGTTAAGTAGGGTCAGGCCTGGTTAGTATTTGGGTGGGAGTATCAATGAATATAAAGTGCTGTAAACTGTATTTCAGAGGAAGGAACTGGCAGAAACACCTCTGAGGCTTGATCTACACTGACATATAATCCAGTTCAAAACAAAACCTGGGATGAGAAACTGAATTACATGTCATAGAGATGGGGGTAATAGTGTGATAGCTGGGTCTGGAAGCTCCAAGTGTTACGGAAATGCCGCATGGCTCCTTCGTGAGCACTGTTTGCGCAAGAGAGACTTAGCAAATGTAAGCCAGGCCAGAGACAGATGATATAGAAGGAATGTAAGAGTTCTTTAATGGTGAAACCCGAGCCCTAACCATATTGTAAGCCTAAGCCTAACCCCTTACCAAACGCTTACCCTAACCCAAACCCTAAAACTTACCCTAACCCTGAACCGTATTGTAAGCCTAAGCCTAACCCTTTACCAAACGCTTACCCTAACCCAAACCCTAACCCTTACACAAACCCAAACCTTACCCTAACCCTAAACCATAATCCCTACCCCTTACCTTAACCCTGAACCGTATTGTAAGCCTAAGCCTAACCCCTTACCAAACACTTACCCTAACCCTAACCCGTACCCTAAACTGTAACCTCTAACCCTTACCCTAACCGTAACCACTAACCCTTACCCTAACCCTGAACCGTATTGTAAGCCTAAGCCTAACCCCTTACCAAACCCTTACCCTAACCGTAACCCCTAACCCTTACCCTAATCCAGACCCAAACCCTAAACCTTCCTTAACCCTTAACCCTAACTCTAAACCGTACCCTAAGCGTAACCTCTAACCTTTACCCTAACTGCAACCCCTAACGCTTACCCTAACCCTGAACTGTATTGTAAGCCTAAGCCTAACCCCTTACCAAACGCTTACCCTAACCCAAACCCTAAACCTTACCCTAACCCTTACGCAAACCCAAACACTAAACCTTATCCTAACCCTAACCCTAACCCTAAACCATACCCTAACCGTAACTCTCAACCCTTACCCTAACCGTAACCCCTAACCCTTACCCTAACCCTAACCCAGACCCAAACCCTAAACCTTGCCCTAACCCTTACCCTAAGCGTCCCCTCCTTTCTATTCTTCCCTCTCCCCGCTCTCACTCCACCCTATCTCTTCCCTTATTCACAGCCACCTTTGCGGCATCTCTGTAACACTCGGAGCTTCCAGACCCAGCTATCATACTATCACCGAGATGGGGCATGAGGCTGGATCTACACTGCCATATAAATCCAGATGATCCAGGGGAATGCCATGGATATAGTGTACCTGGATTTCAGTAAGGCATTCAACAATGTCCCCCATGACCTTCTGGCAAACAAACTAGTCAAATATGGGTTAGGCAAAACTACAGTTAGGTGGATCTGTCATTGGTTAAGCAAACGAACCCAGAGGGTGCTCACCATTTCTTCCTCTTCAACCTGGAAAGAAGTGACGAGTGGAGTGCCGCAGGGCTCCATCCTGGGCCCGGTCCTGTTCAACATCTTTATTAATTACTTAGATGAAGGGTTAGAAGGCATGATCATCAAGTTTGCAGACGACACCAAATTGGGAGGGATAGCCAATCCTCCAGGAGACAGGAGCAGAATTCAAAACCATCTTGACAGATTAGAGAGATGAGCCAAAACTAACAAAATGAAGTTCAACAGTGACAAATGCGAGATACTCCACGTAGGCAGAAAGAATGAATGCAAAGATACAGAATGGAGGACACCTGGCTTGAGAGCAGTGTGTGTGAAAAAGATCTTGGAGTCCTCGTGGACAACAAGTTAAACATGAGCCAACAATGTGATGTGGCAGCAAAAATAGCCATCAGGATTTTGGCCTGAATCAATAGGGATATAGTGTCTAGATCCAGGGAAGTCATGCTATCCCTCTATTCTGCCTTGGTCAGACCACACCTGGAATAACACTGTGTCCAATTCTGGGCACCACAATTAAAGGGAGATGTTGACAAGTTGGAATGTGTCCAGAGGAGGGCGACTAAAATGATCAAGGGTCTTTAAAACAAGCCCTATGAGGAGCAGTTTAAAGAGCTGGGCATGTTTAGCCTGAAGAAAAGAAGGCTGAAAGAAGACATGATAGCCATGTATAAATATGTGAGAGGAAGTCATAGGGAGATGAGCAAGCTTGTTTTTTCCTGCCCTGGAGACTAGGACACGGGACAATGGCTTCAAACTACAAGAAAGGAGATTCCATCTGAACATTAGGAAGAACTTCCTGACTGTGAGAGCTGTTCAGCAGTGGAACTCTTTGCCCCAGGGTGTGGTGGAAGCTCCTTCTTTGGAGGCTTTTAAACAAAGGCTGTTTTAAACAAAAGCACCATCTGTCGGGGGTGCTTTGAATGCAATTTTCCTGCTTCTTGGCAGGGGGTTGGACTGTATGGTCCACAAGGTCTCTTACTACTCCATGATTCTATTATCTGCTTTGAACTGCATTATATGGCAGTGTAGACTCAGGCCCCTTCGACCCTGCCATATGAGATCCAGATGATCTGCTTTGGATTATATGGTTCATACAATCCAGGTAAATACTGATAATGTGGATTATCTGCTTTGACAATCTGGATTATATGACAGTGTAGAAGGGGCCTCGGGATGGTTTTGCACTGCCATATTATCCATATTATCAAAACAGATAATCCAGATTATCTGCTTTGAACTGGTTTATAGGAGTCTACACTGCCATATAATCCGGTTCAAAGCAGATAATGTGGATTACCTTTGATCATCTGGATAATATGGCTGTATAGATCTAGCCTGAGTATCCCTAAGAACAGAGCTTTGCAAACTATATGTCGTGGCATGTTAGGCTGTATTCCAGTATGTGATTCCAGATTATTTTCTTATCCCAGATTATCTGGCAGTGTAGACTAGTTCAAAGCAGAAGATCTGGGATCATCTCCTGGGATATAGGGCAGTGTAGATCCAGCTTTAGGCTGCTTCTACACTGGCCTATAATTCAGAATATCAAAATTGATAATCCACATTATCTGCTTTGACCTGGATTATATGAGTCTATACAGCCATATAATCCAGTTCAGAGCAGTATAGTTGTGTCATGCAAACCTAACAAGAAATGACAAAAATCCTGGAAATGTATGTTATTACCTTACAAATCATATATTTTTAATATATTTAATTTTTAAATATATAAATTATTACAATTCATGTATGTATCTGTGTAGCTTTTAATTTCTGGTTTGCCAGAAAACATGATTACTGTGTCACAAAATAATGCATGTCTTTAAAAAAGTGTGTCACCAACATGCAATGTTGGAAAGCTCTGCCTTAGAATCATAGAGCCAAAGACCAGTCCAACCCCCTGGTTTGTACAAGAAAACCCTATGGAATTCATGTGGTTGCCTTAAATCAACAGGCAACTTCGAGGCACATAGACAAACACTGTATAACACAGATCAGACATCCTGTATCTGGAATTCTGAATCCCAAAATCTAAAACTGTCAATTTGGGTAGTTGAGAAATTTTCTTTTTGATCATTCAGTATACATCAGCTTTGTTTCATGCATAAAGCTATTAGTATTGTGTTAAATCGTCTTCAGACTATACATATAAGGTGTATACAAGGCATTCATTAATCCTTGGTTTAGAACTTGAGCCCCATCTCCTAGATATCACATTATGTATGTGTATGCAAATACAGATAGAGGCAGTCCCCAAGTTCTGAACAAGATAGGATCTGTAGGTTTGTTCTTGTTGGATCTGTATATGTTGGAACAGATACATTTTTAAGTGTAACTCCAGATACAGATATATATCAACTTTAGTTAGCATAGATGGACTAACGGCCCTGTGTTGTCTGCAGAAGATTTCCCCTCACTTTCTGTATATGTGATAACTTGATTTTGAAAAATTTGGCTTGTTGTGGAAACAAAGATTGGTGATCAAGCTTCAGTGGAAACACCTTTTCCCCATGATAACTCTTCCAGGAGTGAATTTCTTTTCCTAGGGGTAGATTTTTCTCACTTTCTGTTGTCTCACCCCTGTTCTTAACTAGGAGTCATTTGTAAGTTGGATGTTTGTAACTCCGGGGCTGCCTGTATTCCAAAATCTTTCTGGTCCCATGCATTTCAACTAAGAGATACTCAACCTGTATTGTGTTTTTGAATATGCAAAAGGTGTGAGTGGGGCAGTGAGATGGGAGAGTTGCCCTTCCATATGCTACCCAATATGAAATTTAAGGACTAAATTATACATTCCTTAAGAAGAACAGCATTCTTACGAGGAGGGATACTCTCATTTGCACCACCATGGCCCCGCACTTAGATATACCACTGGATATTTTCCAGCTTTTTTCTTGCAAAAGATGGCAAATTGGAGTGTAAATTGAAAAGAGATAAGGCAATAAATCTTTCTGATGGCAAACTGACATTGTTTATGATTGGTGCTAGCACTGTGGTCAAAATCTCTGGGGCCTCAACCAAGGGCGAACACCCAAAGTTTGCAGAATTCCAAAAGAATCACTGGCTGTAAGGGAGCTTTGAAAGAAAAATGAAAATTATCTGAGTGAGAATTGAGTGTGCTGGGTAGTAGGCATGGATAGAGTCATGTCGGATAGCTCATTGCTCGTAACAATTTCGTTACAATTACCTTTTCGAAGCGACATCGAAGCTTTTTTAAAACCCGGAAATCCCTTTGCCTTTCCAAAACTTTTTCCACCATTTTTGTTATGACTCATGAAGTGAGTCAAAAATAATTCAGCATATTTTCAGCCCTCTACTAGCCTGCTGGGAGGCAAGCAGCTTGCATGCTGGGAGATTCCTTGCCTCTCAGCCAATCAGGGGAGAAGTTTTGGGGGAGCACATGGCTCAGAGGCTCATTCGGAGCCAGAAAGGGAAGGGAGAAGGGAAAGAAAAAGTCAAAGGGAAGGGAGTTGTGTTGAAGGGAGGTTGGAAGAAGAGGACGGGAGGCAAGAAAGCAAGCAGAGAAGAAGGGCTCTTGGCTGCCGTGCCTGGCTGGCTGGCTGGGCAGCCTGCCTTGCTGCTTGTGTGTTGTTGCTGCTGTTGGAGTTTGGGACGGATTGGCAGTGCAAGGGTTGTGTGTGGGTGACTGGCGTGGGTGGAAAGAGAAACATGGAGGAACCAAAGCACTCACTCCAACATTTTAAAAAGCCAACGTTGTAGCTGGCCTCAGTGTTTTTTAGTTTGTGTAGCAAATTGCCTCAAAAGAACTAGATCTCCCATCAATTCAAGCCACTCTTTGAACACAAACTCTCCTTCTTAAAGTTGTGAAAGCTTCCAAGGCAAAAAGGGCAGGGCCGTTTGCTATTTTCTTTGTTTGCTGTGAATTGCCTAATAAGACACTACAAATCCCATACTTTCAAGTATTGCGTATTGCGCAATCACGGCTGCCATTAATGAAGTGATTCGGAAATTTCGGAAAGTTCTGAATTTTTTTTTCAGAAAAAAATTGGAATTCAATTCCAAATCGAAACACCAGTGCCCCCTACATCCGAAACAAGGTTTGAACATTTTTTTAAAATCAACCAAGCCTACTGGGTAGCCATAGAATAAAAAGCAAAAGCTGGAAAGTAAAAAATGAAACTGGCAGGGAGAATGGGATGCCTTGAAGAGAATGCCTTGAGTGGCTAAAGCTCCTAGGAATCACATTTCCTTTAGAGGAGGGAGGCTACATTACAACGTTTTGATGAAGTCCCACTGATTTAATTCCAAGTTTAATTGGGTAATGAATTGGGAATAATTTTGTTTTACACCAACGGAGCGCATTTGAGTATGGAGCCTGGTTGTCTCGTGTTGCTGCTGTCAGTATCAAAAATATCTTTTAACAAACTTTGCTTTGTTTTGCTGCTTTTTGTCTCTTGACAAAACTATAAATTGCATGAGTGGACTTGTCAGGAATAGTAGATCATCAAATATAGATGATTTGGCTAAATAAATATGTAAATAGAGCTGCTTGTATACAAGTGGCTACAACAGAAAATATGTCCCTGGTTGGCCTGTTCCAGCTCTAAATCTTTATATGCTGTTCTTATTCAAGTACGCCCAATGAACCTTTCTAGCCTGCACAATGACCACTGTAACACTGGGAGGATGTAGAAGTGTACTGCTTGGAAATTCTGCAAAATAAGATGTGTTTTAAAAGCTTTACAGGTCTATGACATTTGGGAGAAAAAGCAGTGTCATGGATAGTCCCTATATATGAATGTCCACAAACACATGACTGTTGCTCTACCAGAATTGTACATGGTATCCTATATACGGTTATAGCATAGATATATAAAGGCTTATTCCCTAATCAACCGCAACATAATCAGAGCAGCTGCACACTGGGTCAGCATTTCCATTGAGCCATCCATGACAATGCCAAGATTTTTTTCCTCATCATTGACTGCCAGCTCTGATCAATCACACGTGTGCAAAGTTGGGGGAGGGCTTTGCCAATTTACATTTGTTTCCACTAGAGTCAATTGAGCTACACGTGCCATTTTATGTCTAATTTGCAAGTTTGGATACAACCTTCTACAACTCTTTATTGGCTTTTTAAAAAACCATCCTAAATAATTTGGTTTTATCGCTAAACTTTAGCCATGCCCATACTGACTTCAATTTCAGATCATTTATAAGCAAGTTAAATATATGTCCCAAGAGATAAAACATGGGTGAATGAGCATGCAAAACTAGGTCTAAGTATTCCTTGAATAAGAAAACTATGAAATCCATGACGTTGCCATAAGGCGACACATGGAAAGTATAGTCTGACAGCTATATTTTTCCCAACACAAAATAATTCAAAAGAAAGCAACTGCCAAAATCTGCCAGTGCAACAAGGTCAGGATGCAGTTCATCATTATTGTGGCCCCACCAACTAGCTCTCATTTATGGCTAGTTGCTTCTACTATCCTCTCATACTCCTTTCTGTTGGAAGCGGTAATGCAATATTATAATAATAATAATAATAATAATAATAATAATAATAATAACAACAATAAGGTATTATAATTATATATTTATATGACATGTAATATTACTAATAATATTACGATATAGTGGGATGGTGCATAATAGCAATGTTTAATGCTGCTATTGTACTATGCTAATAATATAATATATTGTATGTAATATATACCTTGTAAGCTGCTCTGAGTCCCCTTTGAGGTGAGAAGGGTGGCATATAAATGACATAAATAAATAAATAAAACAGAGGGGAAATGGCACTATTGCCAATGCCACACTGTCACTGCTGTACTGAGCCAGCTGCTCTTTAAAAGTCCTGGTCCTTGGTCTTCAGAGTAAGGCTGTACTGGAGAAGCAGGACTTGAGAAATCATTTATATTGTAGTTCCCTCTGCTCATACTATAACACATGGACCTGAAGACTTACAGCCAGGATGTAGTAAATAGGGTAGGATAGAAATAAAGTCTCATTCATTCACTTATTCATGCATTTTCCTCTACCTTATTTTTTTTTTTACTTTGTCTTCCAAAGGAGGGTAGATAGATACAGTGGAAGAATAGAGAAAGGGAATAGTGGAGTGGAAGGAAAGATCAGAGCTATGTGGTAGTAGTGTGAGTAGTAGTGGTGTTTTATCTCTAATCTGCCTTTCCTTAATATTCTGAAAGGAGAGAGGCAGCAGCAGAGATTTGGTTTCTCTCAACATTACTCTTGGAAATCAACAATAATGAATTTGGGAATTCTTTATTTGTGCAGGAGCATACTCCTATAGTTTTGTTTTTAATCTAAAATACAGGAAGCCCTCTATATTTTCATGTATATAAACCCCTTGCCCCAAATTAAAGCAACAAAACTGTGAGGGCATTATTGCTGCCTCAGAAATGCTTCCTGGTCTCACTACAGTTGTCCACTGGAAATAATTTTGTGGATGTATCTACATACTAGGCAATTTGAGCCCCCCCAAACCCTTAAATTGCCTTCTCCACAACTTTCCCAATGCTTGTTGCTCCTCTACATTCAATATGGCATTAACTAATATATGAAATTATGCAATCAGCTAGTTAGCTTGCAAAAAATATCTATCGTAATTAATCCAGTTGATCAGGGGAAAGCAAATATTGCAATATCTAACCACAGGCAACATTTGATATATCTTTAATGGCCAAATCAATTCCTGAATAACCTAGACAAATTCTAGATTTTCAAGTGTTTTACATAAAATTATGCATTTCTTAAATTCCCCTAAAATCTCAACTGAAAAGTGTTTTATTTTCAAGGTACTGAAAGCACCACAAGTAGGCTAGGTAGAAAAGATATTGAACTGAAACAATTCCAAGCTTAAAAAGCAAGCGTCCCTATGAGCAAAACTTTCACAGGCCTCATCCTGGTAAATCCTTGCTTGACTTTTCTGTGTCATCTTCCTCTGTTCTCTGAGTTTCTCCCCCTGTTTCTCCTGGTCTCTCCTCTTCCTCCTCAGATTCTCCTTGAGTCCGTTCTCCCTCTCCCTCTTCTATCTCCCCATCCTCAGATGTAAACGTTTCTCCTCCCTCTGAGCTTGATACCTGTTTTTCGCCTTCTGACTCAGTTATGTCATACTCTTCTCTTTCTTCGCCTTCTTCTGTGGTGTCCTCTTCTGGTTTTAAGTCATAGATATCTCTTTGGCTGTCTTCTTCTTCTTCTTCTTCTTCTTCTTCTTCTGCTTCTGCTTCTTCTTCTGCTTCTGCTTCTTCTTCTGCAATCGCTTCTTCCTCTTCTTCTTCCTCATCTTCCAATTCTATAGAAGATACAGAATTTCAAAACTGATCTTCTCTACAATTGTGTACCCCAGTGTCTCCTACCATCTGGTTCACAGACCACTGGAGATCTATACATTGGACTTTGATGCCTATCTGAATGTAAAGGGGCCTGGCAGGGACTTATGAGATTTTTTTTATGTGCTTATGTCTTCTTTCTTTTTATGTTATACATATTCAAAACAAATTGTTTAAGTGATGATTCACAAAGTCCTTTGACAATGATGATGTGGGTCCACATAGAGGAAAGGGGTGGGAGTTGCTAGTTCAGCCTACTCTGACCTTCATAGTTTAGGGTTACTTAGAATCTGTTCTTACTGTAAGGAAGGGCAGGTTAAAACAATACTATTTCCAAACTAGGGGAAGACTAGCGTAGTCTAGAACAAGACTCATCACCTGGGTTTTACGTTGTTTGTTTTGGGCTTCTTGCTGAAGTATATTTGTCTTATGTGACTAATCTTTGAAAATTTGGCTACATGGTTGATTAAGAAATAAAAGGAATGGAGTTAAACAAACTAATCCTCAAGTCTTTATTTCCAGAGAAATAAAGAGAAAGAGTAATGAAGGCACATTCATGCAAGTTAAAATCAGGGCACATTACCAAAGTAGTTCAAGAATAACATCAAACAATGTGTAAAATGTATAGTGAGCCATGAGCTAAAGCAAGTCTGTTGACCTGTCTTTGCAACAATGAGAAAGAAACTGGTGAAATTATACCATCTACTGGTCAGCGGCAATATAGCACCTCCAGCTATGTAAAAGGTTAGATCTACACTGCCGTATAATGAAGATTTTCAGTTTTAACTGCATTATATGGGTCTACAGTGACCATATAATGCATATTCAAACTGCATTTTATGGCAGCATAGGTCCAAAGTCTTTTAAGGCATCTCCATATCAACTCTTGACTGTGGTCCCTTGTTTACTCTCTTTTACAAAGTTTCTCAAGCACATAATTAATGAATTGGTGCATTCCGGTGCTTACTGTGTTACACTTGTTCTGTGAGTTATTTTAAAATGTGAAATGCTGTTAGAGAGGCTGTCTGTCCAATGGCAAAAACTGGGATTTTCCAGAGCATTTGTTACTTTAATTGAAAGTATATTGATTATTAATAATAATAAAACTTTATTTATATACTGCTCTATCTCCTCTAGGGGGACTCAGGGCGATTTCCACAAAAACATAAAACATACTGAGTCGCCATTAAAATATAAACACAACCTATAAACACAATCCTATGCATTGACACAACCGATTCCACATTATTCCATTGTGCAAATGAGTTACCAATGGCCCTACCTACATGTGGGCTGGACAGTTTGAAGGGCTGATCGGGCTCATGTAATAATAATATTATATAATATATAGGTTTTGCCTATTTTATAATTTCTTGGGTAACATGGTCTTGACAATGAACCCATTCTTACATCAACCATGTTTCGTTCCAGATGGGACAGAGCATTTTAAATACTGGGCCGAAATACAATGTGAGCTCAGAAACACATTGGTATTTTCAGCTCCTCCAATATACAGTATTTTCAGCTGCTTAAATAAACTCTAAAACATTTTCTAGATCATTAGAGCAAGTTTTGGGGATGTTAAACCTGGTGTAAACAAATAAATACTTAGATTTCTCTTTTTAATCAAAGTCCAGCACTGGTTAGAGTCCCTGGGTTCACTATATTTTTAATACTGTTTTCCGCATAACAGGGATGCAAAAGAAATATCTTCCAAATGATATTGAACAGGGCTGCTAACAATTGCAGTGCACTATTAGAGAGCCCTACATTCTGCTCTCATGTACACATATGGAAAAACAACATTGTCCTATTTGGGCACTTTTATAATTCTTGCTCTGTCCCTGTCTTTGGTATTGGTTGTATGTGTAAGGAGCCATCTTTTGCTCCGTACTACTATAAGAAATTTTGGGCATCACTCATAGTATGTCATAGAGATTCTTGAAAATGCTTTGGCACTTTCTAGTTTTCACTTATGTTTAATCTGGAGTTTTCTTAATATTTAATTTCATAAACCATGTACAAGAAGTGAGGGGCAAGGCCCTATGGAACCCTAGGAAATGCCAAAACCTGCTTAATAAGCTGATTGTTTTATACCATACAAAGTAAGATAGAATTCAAAATGTGTAAAATCATCTGTATGTAACAGGAGTAGAAACTATCAGAAAAGTTTTAGATAGTTAATAACACCCTGGCAGCTTAAGAACAGTGTTGGGGACATACCAAGCCTTTCTTAGACCTCAGTTAAATATAAAGCAAAGTGCATAAACAAACCTCCCAATTCACGCAACCTCTCACGTCTCTGCTCTTCTCTCAACTCTTCGATATATCCTTTGTTGGTATCATCCAGGGCCTGCCAAAAAAAAAGCTAAAATACCTAAATGGGTACCAGGCAGGCATTGTGAGAAACTGTCTTCCCACAAATATAATTTCCTTCTTTAATGTGCAGTTTGCATACAGCAACATTGTTATTAGTATGTATCTTCACAAGAGAAGACTCATAACCAGGATGGTAGGGGATAGGAATATTGTTACTGTTTAAAGAACAAAGGCACAAGGAAGGAATGCATCTGTTGGAGCAAGTCCAGTTACTTGGGACTTGCTATTTAATAGTAGGGTAGTCAAGGCAGTGGTGGCACATAAACCAGTTGACTAATTGGCAAGGGAAACTGTCAGATGAATTGTGAGTATCATCATGTCACTTTGAGTCCCCTTCGGGGGAGATAAAGCAAGGTAATAATAATAATAATAATAATAATAATAATAATAATAATAATAATAATAATTGTTGTTGTTGTTCATTCGTTCAGTCGTCTCCGATTCTTCGTTACCTCATGGACCAGCCCACGCCAGAGCTCCCTGTCGGCCGTCACCACCCCCAGCTCCCTCAAGGTCAGTCCAGTCACTTCAAGGATGCCATCCATCCATCTTGCCCTTGGTCGGCCCCTCTTCCTTTTGCCTTCCACTTTCCCCAGCATAATTGTCTTATCTAGGCTTTGCTGTCTCCTCATGATGTGGCCAAAGTACTTCAACTTTGTCTCTAGTATCCTTCCCTCCAGTGAGCAGTCGGGCTTTATTTCCTGGAGGATGGACTGGTTGGATCTTCTCGCAGTCCAAGGCACTCTCAGCAGTTTCCTCCAACACCACAGTTCAAAAGCGCCTCTCTTCCTTCGCTCGTCCTTCCCTAAGGTCCAGCTCTCACATCCGTAGGTGACTACAGGGAATACCATGGCTTTGACTAGGCGGATCTTTGTTGCCAGTCTGATGTCTCTACTCTTTACTATTTTATCGAGATTGGACATTGCTCTCCTCCCAAGAAGTAAGCGTCTTCTGATTTCCTGGCCACAGTCTGCATCTGCAGTAATCTTTGCACCTAGAAATACAAAGTCTGTCATGGCCTCCACGGTTTCTCCCTCTATTTTCCAGTTGTCAATCATTCTTGTTGCCATAATCTTGGTTTTTTTGATGTTTAGCTGCAACCCGGCTTTTGCGCTTTCTTCTTTCACCTTGATTAGAAGGCTCCTCAACTCCTCCTCGCTTTCGGCCATCAGAGTGGTGTCATCTGCATATCTGAGGTTGTTAATGTTTCTTCCAGCAATTTTCACCCCAGCTTTGCATTCATCAAGCCCCGCACATCGCATGATGTGTTCTGCATAATAATAATAATAATAATAATAATAATAATAATAATAATAATAATAATAATGTCTGTTGGGTGTCAGGTAGATTGCAGAGGAGGGGATCACTGAATCAGTAAAATTGTTCAACCACAGTATTAGGAAATGGTGACTCTCAAAGGTATATGTCCATAGACAGATTTTAGAACCCTGCTGAGAGTAATTACAGATCTTTCTAGAACAGCATCCTGTTTCCAACAGAAGTTTGTACAAAGCCCTTAAATTGAGGGACCTTCTCATCATTATTTTTCCTTGCATCAAGAGGTAGACTGCCTCTGAAAAAGGAGGTTGAATTTCTCTATCATGGCCAATTAAATCTTAGAAGAACTGTCGTCTAAGCCTCTTTGATCTTCAAAATTCGGACTCTTTCTCTTCACCGCAACCTTTAAGAAATCACATCCCTCGTCCATTTCTAGATGTGCCACTTTCCTATCATTCAGAACTAATCATACTGGAACAGCACATCGCCTGTGACACAGATGCCATATTCATGCTGCGGCAATGTCTTTCTGAGCCGTTTTTTCATGCTGCTCCCTAAGCCTTGCTCTAGCAGCAACTCTATTCCCTTTGCTCAGTTCATATTTATTTATGTACTGTATTTCTTCATTTCTAAGAGGCACTTTTCCCCAATATATAAACACACATATGTATATTATGTAACACACACACACATATATACACACACACACATATATACTTGCATGTTTGTGTGTGTGTATATATATGTACACACACATACATGCACATATTATGTTTTATACACACGCACATACACACACACACACAGAGAGATTTGTGTGTGTATATAGTTTTTTCTGTTGGTGGTACTGAAATTTATGTGCATCTTACAATAGATGGTGTCTTATGATCAAAGAAATACAGTATGTTTATGTATGTGTAATATACACACATATCAGGTATTGAGTCTACAACCAACCAAAGTATCACAGGCTTATAGTTCTCTTTCAGCAATCTGGCGAGATCATAACTCACGTTTTTGGAAGCTCAAACCTTAAATTTTATCAAACATAATTATTCAACCTAGCCCACCCCCCCCCCCCCCCCCCCAATCCAATCCAATCCTTTCCCACCCCAGGAACACTCTTTCTGAGTTATAGGCAGTCACTTACAATAATGATTGCCTGCCGAGCTGCATCATTATGGATACGTTTTGCCTTCTCCAGAGCCGCCTCGAAGTATGCAACAGCTGAGTGGAAATTCTCCAGCTTCACTGTGTATTAACAATTGTGTTTGTTTATTTCTTTGTTTTAAAAGGCAAAGTTTAAAAAACTGTAAACTTTAGAAAGCTTACTCAAATAATCTTCTATGTAATGCATTGCTAGATGATTACTGGAACTCTGACAAATATAAAACACCTGTTAATACTACAGTTGACCCCCCCCCTTTTTTTTTTTTAATGATTCTGACTTCTGCAGATTTGATTATGTACATATTTGATTACAATGTTATCTCTAGGTCCTCCAGTGTGACTCTATAGACAACTTACTAATGTAATATTGGAAGACCTAGAGTTTTATAGAGAGAGGACTCTTTAGGAATCTCTAATGCAGTGGTTCTCAACCTGTGGGTCCCCAGGTGTTTTGGACTACAACTCCCAGAAATCCCAGTCAGTTTACCAGCTGTTAGGATTTCTGGGAGTTGAAGGCCAAAGCATCTGGGGACCCACAAGTTGAGAACCATGGCTCTAATGGGTCCTCTGATGGTGAACTTACAGCAGGCATTGACTATAAAAGAATGCTGGAAAACCTAGAAATTCCTAGAGAGGTATTCTCTCAGGTTAAAAAAATAGCAGTTTGTTTATTCACAATTTTTCATTTTCACAGGGAGTCCTCTGTCCCTAATCCCAGTCAATGTGGAGACTTAACTATATGTTTTCTTGTATTTTACAGTGCAACAAAAGTTCAAGATAGTCTTCATTCATTTTCATGTTTAGTATCTGTCACTTTTTAGACAGATAAGAAGTATCATGTTGGATCATTTCAGAGGCTTATCTGATCCAGAATTCTGTTCTCAACCACTATCCAAATGGTATAATACAAAGCCCACAATAGGATATGGGCACAACAAAACTTCCCATAAATGTTACTCAGAAACTGGTATATAGTGCCTTCCACACTGGAGATATATATAACTATCCTATCTGGCAGTCATTGATAGCCTTATCCTCCTTTTGTGCTTGTATCCCAGGCAGCCAACAAAATATATTAGGATTGTATCCCCTGGAATACAGGAAATCAAGACCCTGGTTGGCTAAGGCAGCATCTACAGTGACATATAATGCAGCTGATATGAACATACCCATATAATGCAGTTGAATGTTGAATGCATTTAAATTGCATTATATAGGTTTACACTGACTATATAATGTAGTTTCAAACTGCATTTTATGGCAGTGTATATGCAGCCAAAGTGTCTTTCTACAGCTCTTCCAGAAGTACAAATTGTGGATCTCTCTTAAATACGATGGAGTGAGCACCATTGGGTTTCTGGTACTCCAGACAGCTGCCTGGCTTGCCTTAATGGTGGCTTGGCCCTTTTTTGCATCCACACTTTGCCATCATTTTTGCTGACAAAAATTCTACACTGAAAGATAAGTAGAAGCTCAATAGAGGCAATGCTCCCAGAGCTTAGGAAAATTCCTTTTTGGAATTTCCCCAAGCTTTTAAAGCATTTAGTGAACTGTAATACATAAAAGTTTTCTGAACTCAGAATATTCTATAAGAATACATGCGACCTCTTGCTAAATTGGTCCATCATGCAACCAAATAACGGTAACTGAGCTTCTGTCTGGCAAGAACCAGCAGTCCTATTGCACTGGAGACACAACCCTGTTGGTAAGGAAAACTGTTGACATTTGTCCAACACTGCTTTCACCTTGTGCTTGTGCCACCAACACACCACCATTGAGCTGCCATTCAATGTCCCCCTCCTCCTCTGCACATTGCAAAGACCTCTCGCCGTAGTCCCGGGCTTCAATGGCTCTATCAAGCTCCAGATAACATCTCCCAATTTCATGAAACAGCCATGTCTTCTCCAAATTGCTCTTCACAAGTGGAATCTTCTCTTCCCAGCTTTGTAAAATAGAACAGAAAAAATTAGTTTTCTAGATCCTTTCAAGACCAATCTTCTCTCCTGTCTGTAGTCACATCTCTTCTTTCTGTCCCTCTTAGGCTCATCACTGCAGCAAAAGCCACCTCCCCCACTTCCTTATTTCCTTAGGAACTAAATTTGTTTTTTTTTAAAAATTATTTGGAAATAAAAGCTAAAAACCTTTCAGCTTTTATTTCCAAACAGCTGCTACTGCAGCATTCCAGGTTTTCCTTGAGGTTTAAACACTAAGACTCAGCAGCATGGCCAAGAAGCCTCCTAGGCCAGGTCTACAAATCAGTGACATGCAAAAGAGAGTGGAAAGTGGAAGTGAGGAGGGGGAAAGCCTAACTGTGGTTGTTAGTCAGGGGCTGGGCCATATAAATATGAGAACCACAATATTCATAATGGTTTGTTTCCAGGACTCACCACAGATGTTAAAAAAATGTGGATGAACATGTCCCATATTACTAAATGGCAGTGATGTGAATGAACATGCTGCAGCGTGCATGCATTTACATCACCACCATTTACTAATATGGAGTTCTAGAAATAGAGGATCCAGATTCTAGGCATCCCAAGAACCCTCTGTAATGCCATTAGCAAAAGGTCTCAGTTCAGCAGAAAATCCTTGTTGTAATTCCTCATCCAAAGCAACTCTTCTACTCTCCTTGGACAGTTTTCTGCACTCTTTCACAAATTGCTTCCCAGGTTACTGACATTCAAGGAATCTGTGATCTTCCAAATATTATGACAGTACAAATCCACTCTTACTGGACCATTTGTCTTGGCAACAGGGATTAATGGGATTTAGAATCCACATTATTTATTTATTTATTTATGACATTTATATGCCGCCCTTCTCACCCCGAAGGGAACTCAGAGCATCTTACAATATACAATAAATAAAATAAATACAATATCTTCCTGGACCCCTCTTTACTGTGGTCCCAGAGTAGCAGTTGGTGTTGTGGGGAGGGGCTCTCAACTTATGACACTGAAGACAAGATGGCACTGTCTTCTTTGCCCCTCTCTTTACTCTGCTCCCAGAGCAGCAGTTGGTAAGCCATAACTTTTCCATCTCGGTGCTAGGTGTTCTCCTATTCTATTCTATTCTCATCTTCTCTATGTGACACTACCATTTGTGCAATCAACCCTACATAGCAAGTTCTTAGTGTACCATTGCTTTCTTTTAACTCTTATTGATTCTACCAAAGATTTGAATGGTTTTATTGTTTACACATCACTGCTCCTCCAAAAATGAAACCATGGCAGCTAAATAATTTTCAGTTTATACTGTTATAGAACTGAGTTATAGTAAATTGTTTGACTTTAGATCAGGGTTGGGAAGGCAGGAATTATGCAATCCTCCAGATGTTGTTGAATTACAACTGCTAGCATTCCTCATTATGTTACACTGCGGGGAGTTACAGCTCATCAACATCTGTTCATCAACAATTCCACCTTATTTTAGATTGTCCTCAATGCAGAAGACATGGAAAACCTTATTAGCTGTTGACTTCAACCTACGTTTCAATGGCTTCCTCGTATTTTTTCATGCGGGCGTAGACTCGTCCAATATTGTCCAGGGCTCTAGAGACAGCATCAATCAAATTACTGCAGCAAAGAAAAAAGCAAGAGATCTTAAAAGTGGATTGCTACCTCAAAATATCCTTGGTTATCTGTGACCCACCTTCCTTCTCCAACCTGGTACTCTCTTACTTTTCTCTGGCAATATCCAGGTCCACCTGGTGACTCAGTAAAGCTGCCTCCAAGTTTCCCATATCAATCTGAGCATTTCCAATACAGCTGTAGAGGTTTCCAACCAGCTCATTCCTGTTAGGAATCTCATCATCATCAAAACCTTGAATCTTTTTTAGTACTTGCTCAGCTTTCTGCCAGCTTCTTCCAGGGCAACCACTGGTGAGCACTTGTTGGTGAAGAGAGGAAAAAAGAAAACATGGGTACAATTGCACTGACAAATGTTGGAAATATGGGAAAGAAAATGGCACATTTTACCACATGTGGACATGCAAAAAAGTTTTTAAAACTACTGGAAACAGATTAATGTATATCTCAAAAAGATGTTAAACACAAATTTCAAAATGACACCACAAATCTAACTTTTGAACATGCCAGATGAAGAATTAGAAAGGAAATTTGGGGGGAAATTGTTTTATGTGACAGTGGTAGCCTGAATAGTATATTCTAGATATTGGAAAATCTCAGAGGTACCTCCCTTAGAAGAATGGGAAAAATACATTACAGATTTGCTAATAATGGACAAAAAACTACTCTTAAAAGGAGAATTATTAGAGAACTTTGTTAATGAATGGCAACCAGTGATTCAACATCTCAATGTAAAATTAAACTAAAAATGTACATAGGGCATCTTATAAGACTATAGGCAAGGAGGAAGAGGATACTAATTTAGAGGCTATGATGCTTTTATATGTACTATTCAAATAGAAGACTGTGACCCCTTAAAGAAAAGATTATGGAACAGGTATAGCTGGAAAATATTGCAATGTACACAACAAAAACAAATGTATGACTATTTCAATAAATAAATAAATAAATATTTAAAAATACATTGTGTTTAGATTTAATTGTTCCCCTCAAATATGTCTCTCATTAAACATCTCCCCCATTCAAGGTTTTGGTTCCAACAAACAACAGGCTATGACTATTTCGAATGTTTTTCAGGGTCTCCAAACGGCATGGCCAATACTGAAAATAGAATCTCTGTATGGGTGCAAGAATCATATATATGCCACAAAAGTACATATCCAGGGTGTAAACCACAATCAACCACAAAACACATGAAGGTCTCATATGTGTGCAATGGTGGAACACACTCTGCTAAAATTCCCTTTTATCTGGAGAGTGAAATAGTCCTTGAAATAAAGTTTCTTTCCATAGGTACATTTTATCATCTAAGCCACTTACACATATCAATGTCCTCCATGCTTTTCAGGATATATCTAGCTACTTCAGAGGGTTTCCGCTTTTGATCCCTGGTCCATCTCTGAAGCATCAGTTTTCGGTCTCTGATTCTGGCATATATAGGTTTCTGCTGTTGCCAGAAATCCGTGCGGGTGTCCAGGTAGGAAAGTCCTTCTTGGATCAAGCTTCCAACAGTTACCCCTTGCTTTGTAGTGCTTTTTATCAAGTCTACAAGAAGAAAAAGGAAAGAAAGAATCATTTGATAGTTTATCAAAGTGGTTGGGTTTCAAGCAGATGTCTTCTAGAATATACAATTCTGTCTTTACTGAGATATATGCTTGCAATAACAGTTCCACATACAACACTAGCTTTTATTTAATACAGGGGTCCACAAAGTAAGGCCAGTGGGCCAGATGTGGCCCTCCAAGGTCATTTACCTGGCCCCTGTCATAAACTTTAGACTTAGGTTTGCCCTAAGTCTGAAATTACTTGAAGGCACATAACAATCCTAATTAACTTGACCATTTCATCATCCAAAAGTAGGCCCGCACTTCCCATTGAAAGATGGGTAAGTTTATGTTGGTGAAAACTGTTTTTCATTTAAAATATTTTTTTGTCTTTCATTGTGTTGTTTGGGTTTTGTTTTTGTTTTTTGTTTTTTTGCATTACAGAGAAGACATGTGCAGTGTGTATAGGAATCAGTTCATTTTTTCCCAAAGTATAGTTCACCCCCCAAAAATCTGAGGAACCATGAACTGCCCCCCAACTTAAAAAGTTTGAGAATCTCTGGTTTAATACATAATTCAAAGATTTATATCTGCTCTCAAGTGTGAACACCATCAAGGCACATAGCAATAAAACTGATGAGGTAGTCTATACATCAGGGTCCTCAAACGTTTTAAACAGAGGCCCAGGTCACAGTCCCTCAAGTTGTTGGAGGGCCAGTGTCGTGACCCACAGAACACAGAATGTCTTAAACAGCAGTTGAGGTGCAAAATAGTAGTATTTTAATGCAAAACAAACTAAATGAGGCACTTTAAGAGTCAGTGCAAACAGTTCAAAGGATGTTTTCAAACAGGAACACAAAATGCTAGATAAGCAGGCTTGAATTGCAGCCAAGAAATAACAAGAGATACGATGGACTAGGAGAATACAAAACAAAACAGTCTTTAAGGGTTGCAAGGCATGGAGCAAAATCCGGTAGGCAAACGCGTAGTCAGTCAGTTCCAAGGGTCAAGAAGCCAGATGTACACTCACGAGCGAAGGTTCCAAGGTCCGAGGCACGGCAGGGAAAACAGGATACTGGGAATCCAAAACAAGATTAGGCAGAGAACAACACGAAACAACACTTTGTCGTCTGCAAAGGAATAGGTCCCAGAGTGCTCATTTTATTCACTATCAGAAGAATGAGATTCATTGCTTGCATCTGATTCTGCTCCCGCAGCTGAAGCATCTACACCACGCCAAGCCTGCCACCTTTGCTCTAGTGCCTGATCCTGCCAATCAGTACTCTCATTCCCATTATCCCTAAAACCTTCAAAATCATCACTTGATGTTGCTTGATTGCAAATGTCTCTAATGTTCTGAACCAGAGTCCAGTCTACAGCCTCCTCCAACTCATCCTCACTATCACTGGAGTTATCTGCTGTGTCTCTAAGCCTCTTAGACATAGTGTCACTCTCACTGCCAGAATCACTAGCCACTCTCTTCACTCCCCTGTAATCTGCTTCCATAGCCTCCTCTGGCCTGAATCCTGCAAAGTCTTCTTCATCACTGGGAGCCAGAAAGATGTCACGAATACATTTCAGCTGGCGCTGATTCTCCTCTGTTTCTGCATCACTCCTTCTTCTTCTCCTACTACTAGTAGTAGGTATGGTGTCAGAATGCTGACTCACAACAGCCGGATTATAATTTGAAAAAAACATAAATGAATTCCTATCACATTGCACATATTTTAATTGTAAGTGGGAAAAAAACACTTAAAGACAATACAATAATTAAGATGAAGAACAATTTTAACAAATATAAACTTATTAGTATTTCAATGGGAAGTATGGGCCTGCTTTTGGCTGATGAGATAGGATTGTTATTGTTGTTATGTGCTTTCAAGTCATTTCAGACTTAGGTTGACCCTGAGCGAGGGCTGGGTAAATGACCTTGGAGGTCCGTATCTGGCCCCTGGGCCTTAGTTTGCGGACCCCTGCTATACATAATGTGAACCCATGGTTAATATTACATGAACAAACAATGAGGCGAATTTGCTTTGTGCATTCACCCTCCACATGTTTGGTACTTCCAGTTTCCTCCTTCCCACCCAAGTTTGAAACAAATCATCATTTGTTTCATTCATTGAGCAAAAAATTGCTTGCTTGACTCACAAATGCAAACCATAAATCATAATCATTTGCTAACCAAGGGGGAAAATCGCAACTTGCTAGGTCAGACGAAATGCCAAACGATGGTTTGTCTCTAACCAAGATCAGTGGAAAGAATCAAAGTATTTGAGTGGACTAGAAAGTATGTGTTCCCAAAGCTCTTTGATGTTTATATATATAATGTAAAATTGAGGTTTGGCATTATATTTGAGTCTCTTTGCATATGGCCCTGAGTATGGCACTGCTCTGTCTGTAAGAAACCTCACAGAGACATGTTGTTCATAACCCTTAGGGCAATGGCTTTCAAAATCTTTATCTTCGGTGACACATTCTATGTTCACTGCGTTCATTTTTCTTTAAAAGGAAGTTGACAAATTCCAAAAAACGATGGGGCACTTCAGAAAATATAAACAGTTAATGTAAAGCACCAGCAAGGCCTTTTTTACTCTGCTATCTGCCGTATGAATTCAGTGAACATCCTACTTATAAGACACACCCATAGCTATACTTTTCTGGTACAATAAAACGGTTTTTGTGGATATCTACCTGCTTTTGTTGATCTCACTGAAGAATTCCAAAACACAGCTTAGGAAATCCCTATAAATCATAGCATCCCTGCAACCCACGGTGATGATCATAGGAAAGGGAAACTTGCAACTATAGAATAACTTGAGAGACTCACAGGTCTGAGGCTCCCATGTCCAACACTACCAAAATGGAGAAAAAGATAACCTTCATCCTTGAGCAATTTCTCCAGAAAAGCCTTGTCAACATAGAGTTCCCCAAGGAGTTGCCGTTCGGTCTTCTCATTTCTTACAGGTTCCTGTTGTTTACTTAGGTATTTAGCATCCTTTTTGGTAAATTTGATAGTAAGCTTCTGTTTTGCTTTTCTGGCCTGTCAGAATAGAAAATGGTGGGAAAATATTTACAATGACAAAGACTACTTTTCCTATATTTTGCTGTAACACTCCTCTGTGAAATAGGAACTAGACAAGCAAACTAATTTATCCTTTATTTCACTGATTTGTTTAAGTAATTATATCCTGAATGAACAATGAAATGAACAAAATGAACAAAATCTGGCTACCAGTATTAAAAAACTCAAAAATTACAACAGCAAAACAACAGAGAGTAAACAATCAAGCACATCAAATCACTCTCAACAAAAGATTCCCCCCAGGCACTTCCGGGCCATTAAATGCTAATCAAGGTGGTCAGTTGAAACATTCACACCTAGCTCCAGCAGACAAAAGTCCTTTGTCCCACCCTGGTCATTCCACAGATATATAAACCCATTTTCCTACTTCCAACAGACCTCACTACCTCTGAGGATGCTTGCCATAGATGCAGGCGAAACATCAGGAGAAAATGCCTCTAGAACATGGCCATATAGCCCGGAAAAACCTACAACAACCCAATTATATCCTGCTTTTCTCCCAACATAACACAAGGTGGTTAAAGATTGCAAATCAAACTACATGCTGGTCTGTTTTAAAATATGATCATAGAATAAACAAAGTCATGATCATTTAGAACCCTGAAACATTCAAAAAGGCTTAAGATACAATATAGCCAAAGTTAAGAAATTCTAGCAGCAATAACTTAATCACACAGTCTTCTGCTCTAACATTCTTCTGCCTGCTATAGCACCACTTATATTTTCTCACATGAAGAAACTGGTGAAAAATGAGGAGAATATATTCCAAGCCATTAACTAATACAAGGGGGGTAGGAATTTTTCTCATATAGTTTTTTCACACTGGGTGTGAGAGAGCACCCTTCTTTAGTAGGTTGAGTTAATGCAGCATAAAAAAGAAATCAATTTGCGCAGGAACAACGGAAAAATATCGACACACCTCTTCTTGGAAACAAGAAGGAAGTGTCAAGATGTTTACAAGGGATTTCTGTGTAAACACAGGCAGCCCTGTATTTCCAGTTTTAAAATCTTAAATTTTGCCTTCTCTTTGAAACAGCGCTAGCATGAACACTATTATTTAAACTGTTATATATAGGGGCGGAGTTACCATGGCCGGTTGAACAGACGTCTTTCCTCCAGCTCTTGTGGAAATATAGCAAAAAAG